TCCATAGATATTAATCTTATCTTCATATTACCTAAACGTCAGGCTTCAGAGCAGGAACTATACCATCCTTTTTCTTTGTGTTCCCTCTGACAGTCAGCAAAGTGCTATATATATGTAGGAAGGACTCAGCAAATAATGGTTTTAAAAGAGTAGTTAAGGATGTGACTAGGCTTAGCTAAGAATATTTAGTTTAAGACGCTTTAGATATGTTTGCTGTTTTAAAAAATACAAAATTAATTGACTGGACACAGTGTACATAAAATGTTCTCTGCATATGGTCCAGGCATAAAGAGATTGGCTAATACTAACCAAATTCAAATGATGGGAAATGCTGTTTTTACTCTAAGTTCATATTATAAAAAGTTATATGAGAGTCTTAAAAACTGATTTGAGAATAGCCTGAGCATGATCTCACCAACTGGAACAGAGTATTAAATAAAGCATGAAACCCTCTTCCTTCTTGGAAGGATCTGTTTTATAGATTTTAAAATACAGATATTCAATGAAGTGGAGGAAAGCAGTGAACTGCCCATGAGGAAATAACAGGGGCAAATTAGTAAGTGTTTAAATAACTGAATATGAGCAAAACTAAAGGGAATGGTGACCTTATTCATTCAGCACTTGTATCTTCCCCACTGCCATGCTGAAATGTTACAAGGAATAATCAGATGGATAACATGAGAATAGATACAGAAATACAGCTGACAAATCCCTCTGTTTAGAGGAAGCTGTGGCTTTGTGTAAAGTGCCAATAGGAAATTTGGGAGCCTCTCTGGGATGTTTTTCCTGGAGTTGGAGGACTTTTCTTCCGCCTGGGATTGTGAAGTAGTTAGCCATTGAAGTTTACTTCCCTCGTTGTTTCTTCATATGTGCTTAAATAGCAAGTCTTGGAAGTCTAGACCAGAAGTGTTCTGCATTTGGGAAGTGTTTATAAACAACTCTGATCACTGACTGACTCACAACACAACCTTAGGGAAGCATTTATTATGTAGCATGGGAGGACTGGTTTAAAAAAAGCAAACAAACAAACCAGCCAGCCAGCCATGCTTTTAGAATGGGACACAAATCGTCCACCTCCAGATCTAGTATATTGATGGGATAGTGCGAACTGAATTGTTTAGATATGTTTGCAGTTGGGTTCTTGAAACTTTTAGAGGGCTTTGAGGGCATTTTGTCACTGATACATTCTGTTTGTTTGATGGTTCAGGTTTATTTTGTAGTTTTGTTGGCAGGTGAAAGCCATTTTGGTGTGAGAATGACTATTTGAAAATAATTTTAAATGTGATTAGAGGAATCTTTTTTATGAGAAATTTCCTTTCTGAAGCAGATGAGCATGTCTTTGCATTTTAAAGGCTTAGAGGATAGTCTGGTGTCACTGAGAGACTGTGCCTTGCCCAACATATGGCAGAGGCAGAACTTGAACCCAGCTCTTCTCTGCTGCCCTTAAAGGCAGGCGCTTTTGGGGCAGCTAGGTGGCATAGTGGGTAGAGCACCAGCCCTGGAGTCAGGACCTGAGTTCAAATCCAGCCTCAGACACATAACACTCACTAGCTGTGTGACTCTGAGCAAGTCACTTAACCCCAATTGCCTCACCGCAAAAACAAACAAACAAAAAAGGCAGGCATGTTGGAAGATGTGATCATGAAGTGCATTAAAATAAGGGATTCAAGGAGGCTGCAGATAATTCTTACCAAAAACCACTTTATAATATGTTGTTATTCAGCCATTTCAGTTGTGTCTGACTCTCCATGACCCTATTTTGGGTTTTCTTGGAAAAGATACTGGAGCAGTTTGCCATTTTCTTCTCCATGTTGTTGTGCAGATGAGAAAACTGAGGCAAAGAGTTAAGTGACCTGCCCAGGATCACACAGTTTGGAAGGGTAAGTGTCTGAAGCGAGATTTGAACTTAGGAAGATGAGTCTTCCTGACTCCAAGGCCGGTATTCTATCTACTGCACCAACTAGCTGCCCTTTTAAAAATACAGTACCTACTAAAATTTATATATATTTTAGGGACTTCCACAATATTCCAAGAATTTATAAGGAGAAGAAAAGAGAAAATTTGTTGCTGTTTCTGTTATCTTCCCAAATGTGTAAAAGTATTGATGAAAATTTGGAGATTTCTTTTGTGGTCTAGTTACTTAGCAGTATTAACATATTAGCATTAATAAGCAAGGAAGATTTCTGTATGTTTTGTTCAACTTTTGTTTTGTAAGTGGTGATCCTTTTTAAGCTTTGACAGTGGAGTTAACTTGTTATGAAATGAAGCAAGAAACTTGGCATTTGTACATTGTGAGTCAGTTTTGACATCAGTCTGAACTGGGAATTAAATAGAGGATTCTGGTGTTGGATTGTGGCTGTACTCCAGTATCCTGATTCAAAGGCAGTCATGAGCAAGCTTCCCCACTAGGTTTCAGTCATTAATGTGTGGAGTAGGGAAGAATCTAAGGAGGAAAATTGGGGGACTGCTTTGGATTTCCTGCCTTCCTGTTGAATCAGAAAGCAGTGGGAGGCCCTTTCCTTCCTATGATATGCCATATCCTATTGCCTAAAATTCCCAGCATCTGCCTCCATTTTGGAGGTAGCCCCTTGGAGCACTTCTCTCATCAGCACTTTGAAGTGTCAGCTGTCCTCTGGCTGTCATTTACATTTTGCTGACTCCAGGTGTTTTTCAGTCATTTCCTCATCCCCACCCCACCCCTACCCCATTATGGAATTTATTTTATAAAACCCAGACACTGTTCAGTGTTGTATAGAGAGGTCACATAATGTCATTTGAGAAAAACAAAAACAGAAACAAAAGCCATTTCTGTGATCGTGATTTTAGTTTGATTTCCAGAGAACGCACAAGTCTACCTGGGCTCAGCACATGTATGCTTTACCCATGAAGCCATGGAAGTGCCAGGATCATAGATTTAGAGCTGGAAGCGGCCTGAAGAGTCATTTGATCCATCACCTCATCATACAAATGAGGTGTCTGAGGCCCAGGAAGTTTTTCGAAGGTCCCCCAGACACATGTTTTCAACCCAAGTCCACCAGACTTTAAATGTTCTATATGTTCTACAGCTGTGGAGTAATAAGCTGTTTGTATTTCTTAAAATGGGAAAAGATACTTTGCGTATGTTCCTCTGTCTTCTTATATACTTCAAAAGCAAGTTTTTCTATTTCATTGTTTATATTTTCTCTAATGTAAATGTCTAGTTGAGAGCTAACACTTATTTCTTCTTAATATATTACAAAGATAGTTATTTTTGTATTTAATATTTCAAATCCTGTAACATGTATACTAAAGGAACAAGTACTTCATAAGTCATTGGGACTGTTCTATTATTTAGAAAATGGCAGTGGTGAAATAGGATGTTTCTTCTGTCCTTTTTTTTTTTTTTGTCTAGGCAATGGGGTTAAGTGACTTGCCCAAAGTCACACAGCTAGTAAGTGTTATGGGTCTGAGGCCGGATTTGAACTCATGTCCTCTTGAATCCGGGGCCAGTGTTCTATCTGCTGCGCCACCTAGCTGCCCCAGAAGTGAGCAGGGGGAGGCATTTTAGGCTCCACTTTATTTTTTTTATTTTTTATTTTTTTGGTTAGGCAGTGGGGTTAAGTGACTTGCCCAAGGTCACACAGTTAGTAAGTGTTATATGTCTGAGACCAGATTTGAACTCAAGTCCTCCAGAATCCAGGGCCAGTGCTCTATCCACTGTGCCACCTAGCTGCCCCTCTTGTGTACTTCTCTTGCCCTCGTGATTTATAAAGTGAAATGCAAACTGAGAATTATCCTAAAAAAGAAGCCGTCTTTGAAGATTTACTTCACTGAAGAGTCCAGAAGCCCAAACTGAAAGACTTCTCTCCCTGCAACCCCACCCTCAACCCATGTTGGTTTGCATTCTAAAGAGCCCAAACTTGTTTCAGAGTAATGGGTGTGAAAGTTTAGCCCTGTTCTGAAATAAGCTTAGCTCAGAGCTGAGCACATCCAGCTGTCTGTAGAAGCAAATATAAAAACTAGGACTATTCCTTAGTTGGTGAGGTTTAACGAGATTCTTTGGCATTCTTTAGGTACAGGGAAAAGGAAAATTTGAATACAGTTTCTTTTTTATGACAAAGAAACATTTTGTTTCTGTGTGGGATCCTAGAATTATATAGCTCTAGAGCTGAAAGAGACCTCAGGGACCATCCAATCCAACACCCTCATTTTACAGTTGAGGAAACTAAGGCCCAGAGCAGGAAAGAGATTCGCCCATCGGACACATAAGTAATGAGTATCAGAGGTGGAATTTGAATCCAGGTCCTCTGATTCCAGAATCAAGGAGTCTTTTGTCCATGGTGTCTCACTACCTCTTGTCCTTGATTCTGGCAGGTGCAGGATCCCTTCTGCCACTCTAGATTCAAATTCACATCTCAGGTTTTATTGTTGTTTTTAGTTTATGAACTCCTTATAGAGCAATCAAAAGATTGCAAATATCAGTAGAGAGGAAATGATCAGTATCGACTAAGAGGACCTGTGCTGATGCTTCTTTGGAAGCACCTAGGAGCGTAAGCAGGATGTCTTCCTCAGACAGATGTCCTTGATCCATGTAAGTGATGGCAGAGGCCTATGAAGATCGACTATTTGGATTTCCAGCTAAATTAATTTTGAAATTATGAATTTGAAAACTTGTTTATTTCAGAAGTAGAATCTAAGTAGTTTCACCAAAGCACCTTGGAATGAAAGTGCTTAGTATTTTTCCATAAATTTAAATTAAGGGATCATTTTAAAATTAAGGGATCTCTTTTGCCCCCTTTATCCAGACACAGAAGGAGTACAAGATATGGAGTGAAGAGATCTTATTTGAACTCAAATGTGTTGGAAAAGAAAATGGTTTTTTATTATCGCATTGCAGGGGGAGAGTAACACTAGCTTAATTTTCTCACCATTTTCTAATTTTTCTATTCCTTATCTTGTCCTTTCTCTCTTTTCCCTCTCTGCCCTCCTTTTTTACCTCTTTTCCATTTCTTCTTTTTCAGAAGCCCTTCAGAGGCCAGTAAATGCATCTGATTTTGAGCCACAAGGTCTGAGTGAAGCAGCTCGTTGGAACTCTAAGGAAAACCTTCTTGCTGGTCCCAGTGAAAATGACCCTAACCTTTTTGTTGCACTGTATGATTTTGTGGCCAGTGGGGATAATACTCTAAGCATAACTAAAGGTAAGAGGACTGTGGGTTGCTAGAAGTGACTTTAAAGAGACAAAATTTGAAGAAATTATAGCTTGGATGCCACTTAAGTAATTTAAATAATAGATTTAGAGTTTAGAATAGTAGAAACTGTTAGAAAAAAATGAAGAAATCATTTTAGTAAATAACTTCTTTTAAAAAATTCATACCCCGTTAATGCTTAAGAAAAATAGAATTGTTAACATGTAAGGGTGAAGTTTCTTTTACAATACAGAGTAAAAATGAACTAGATATTGAGACATTTTGATTTATATCTGTATCCTAATGGCTATCCATATCTGTGATAAAAGCATAATTTTTGATAAATGGCTAATATTAGGAATGGACCAGATTAGCTGTAATATCTAGATATCTAGATACGTGTTTCTATATACATATGAACATATGCACATAAGAATGGATTTTGCAAAGGTGAAGTAAAGTATATATTTAGGGATCTAAAGAAATCAACATAGTAATTGCATAAGATTAAATAGATATGAAATAACATGCTAACCTGGAATCCTATAGAGGATGACATATCTAACTTGGTTTTCTTCTAAAGGTGAAAAGCTCCGTGTCTTGGGCTATAATCACAATGGAGAATGGTGCGAAGCCCAAACCAAGAATGGACAGGGGTGGGTTCCAAGCAACTATATCACCCCAGTCAACAGTTTGGAGAAACATTCCTGGTACCATGGGCCTGTGTCACGAAATGCTGCCGAATACCTGCTGAGCAGTGGAATCAATGGCAGCTTTCTGGTTCGAGAGAGTGAGAGCAGCCCAGGCCAGCGGTCCATTTCACTAAGATATGAGGGAAGGGTGTACCACTACAGGATAAACACTGCATCTGATGGAAAGGTAGGATTTCCAGAGAAGGTTGAGATGGAGCCATAGGAACAAAAACTATTCAAGTTCAAATCTGGCTTCATACACTTACTTATCTCTGTGACTCTGGACAAGTTACTTAACTTCTATTTGCCTCAATTTTCTTGGCTTCAAAATGGAGATAAGAATAGTAATGAGTAGGGGAGGGGGGTGGGAGATGGTTATATGGCTTATTGGATAGAGTTCTGGGCCTGGAGTCAGGAAGACCTGAATTGAAATCCAACCTCAGACTCTTACTATGTATGTGACTCTGGGTAAGTCACTTAACCACTGTTTGCCTTAATCTGCTGGAGAAGGAAATGGCAAACCATTCTGGTATCTTTGCCAAAAAAACAACAACCTGTGTATAGTATGGTCCGTAGAGTCACAAAGAGTTAGATGCTCAGTTGAGCAACTGAACAATGACAACAACCTAGTGTTGTTGTAAGGATTTGTAAAGTGCTTTGAAAGCCTTAAAGATATGTGTGTGTGTGTGTGTGTGTGTGTGTGTGTGTGTACACACACACACACACACACATATTTATATTTATTATTGGTATAGCTATAAAGAAGCCATAGACCTTACATAGACATCCCCCTCAGTTTACAGATAAGGAAATCAAAGGCCAGAGAAATTAGTGACTTGCCTAAGGTCACCTGGCTAGTTTGTTTTTAACAGATTTAGGATTAAATCTTGGGTTCCTTGAACTCAAGTCAAAGTGATATCTCCACTAGACTGAGGGATAGGAGTAATCTAAAAGCCCTAAATTGAAGAAATTCTCTTTTTTGCCTTATACATGATGCATCAGAGTCCAATCAGGAGTACATTTCAGGTTTCATTTTGTGGATGTTAGTAATAATTTCCATTCTTTTTAAAAATTTATTTTTATTTTTAGTCTGAACTTAAACACCAAATAGAATGGACATTTAGATAGATAGATAGATAGATAGATAGATAGATAGATAGATAGATAGATAGTGGTGCATATGGAGGCAGCTAGGTGGTATAGTTGGCAGAGAACTGGGCTAGAGTCAGAAAGAACTGAGTTCAAATCTAGTCTCAGACACTTACCGGCTGTGTGACCCTGTGCAAATTACTTAAGTCCTGTTTGCCTCAGTTTCATCAACTGTAAAATAATTATAGTGCTTACCTCATAGAGTGAGGATCAAATGAGGTGATATTTGTAAAAGTGCTTAGCACATTGCCTGGTACATAGTAGGCCCTATATAAATATTAGCTATGCTTTTATTTATAGGTAGATATTTCTCTGTCTCTATATATATGAACAGAAAAAAAGGATTATACCTGAAACTATGAAACTCTAGGTTACTAATATATATAGCTTGCTTTTCTTTTTTAATATGTAATCAGAACAGCCTGTAGCTTTCAAAGCTATTCTGCTTGTATGGCCTTCCTTCTGACATTCCTTTTGTTCTTTTCTCCCAATTTGGAGGGGAAAAAAAAGATTCCCCAATGATGCTCTTTTCTCTTTTCTTCTTTTCTCCTCCCCTTCATCTTTCTTTTCTCGTTCCCCTTTATCCCCTTCCCGTTCCCCTTTCTGCTACTCCATCTTTATATCCCCCTTGTTCTGCCACCCTCCAGTCCCATGGGGGAGGAAGAAGAAAAACAAAGCCCTTCTAACCAATATACACAGTCAAGCAAAGCAGATTCTTACATTGGTTATATCTGAAAATTTATAACTTATTCTTCATCTTTAGTTTGCCACCTCTTTTTCAAACTTCATCACCAGCTCTCTGGAATCATATTGCGTTGGTCAGCATTCTTAAGTCTTTCAAAGTTGTTTTTCTTTATAATGTTATTATATGTAAATCATTTTCATGGCTCTGCTGAGTGCACTCTGATCCTGGTCTTCCCAGGTATCTTTGAAACTGTCAATTTCACAGTTTCTTACAGAGCAGTACTATATTCTAGGATTTGGCCCTTAGGCCAGATCTAATATGTTGCTTGTTTTCTCGTATGGCCTGTGATCAAGGAACATTTTTTATATTTTTAACTTAGCTCACATGCCATATAAAAATTGACTGTGGTCCAGATTTGCTGACCCCTGCATTATGTATTCATTATTCATATAGCATATTATATTCATCATATTCACATAGCATAGAAAGATAACCACTTGTTTCCATTTCTCTGCTACCGTAAAAAAAAAAACCTCATGAATATTTTTCTACAAAAGGATCTTTTTAGGGAATAGGCTTAGTAGTGGCATGTTTGGGTAAAAGGATATGTTCAGTTTAATAACTTTGGGGGCATTGTTCTAAATTACTTTCTAGAATGTCTATACTAGTTCATGGCTCCACAAACAATGCATTAATATGCCTTTCCCCCCACAACCCCTACAGCAATTGTCATTTTTCTTTTTTTGTCAACTTTGCCAATCTAATGAGTTCGAAGTGGAATATCAGAAGTTGCTTTAGTTTGTATTTTTCTAATTATTTGTGATGTGAAACATTTTTTCCCCCATATAGTTGTTGACAGCCTGTACTTCTTCCTTTGGAAACCACCAGCTCAATTATTGGGAAATATTTTTCATTGTTCTTTATGAAAGTGCTGGCTGGAGTCATATTTCATTACAGTTCCAAAAAATTGTACTAATGCTTTGTTGTATTGGACTTTTGTTCATTTAGATAATTCTTGAAATACATGGCTTATCAGCTGGGGTTCTGGAACTTCTTAATATATTTATTTTTATCCCAGTGGTTTATTTGTAAGGGATTTGGACCTGGATAACTTAGCTGGGATAATTGAACCCTCAGGAGTCAGTGGGTAAGGCATAAAAATAATTTCCCTAGGCTAACCTAACTAGTATTTTCTTTTTTTCAGAGTCTGCTATTTGAAATGTTAAGCTAGAGTCCTTTTTTTTTTTTTCACCAATACCTGATTTCATAATTTCCTTAATTTCTTCTCTTTCCAGTTATCAGCCACATTTAATGCAGTTTCTGTGTGCCCTGGGCTCTTAGTAAATGTTAAATATAATATGGCTTGAGACATAATAGCCCTTAGCTCATCACTTTCTAAAATGTTGAGCTAGGCTTTTCTATCTAGGTGCTCCCCTGGAGATGTTGACCCTTTGGGAAATATATTCAATTCATTTGTAGGGTTTACTGCTCCAAGGAGCACTAGCTTTGAGTTGTTCTATCCCATCCACCTCAGAGTAACTTTCTGAAGCTGAATATCTGGATCCTATCACTGATACTTATCCCGGGCAACAGTCATCCAGAAAAAGGTGATCAGTTTGGGTTTGTCCTAAGCAAGCTTGCTTATTAGTCTTTAATTAGAAAAGACAGTGTTGGGGCAGTTAGGTGGTGCAGTGGATAGAGCACCAGCTCCGAAGTCAGGAGGACCTGAGTTCAAATCTAGCCTCAGACCAAACATTTGGTTCTTACTAGCTGTGTGACCCTGGGCAAGTCACTTAACTCCAATTGCCTAAAAAAGAAAAAAAAGAAAAGATATATAAAAGAAAAAATGATATTTGATTAGCATTGTTAAGATTGGACACAAAAAATTGTGACCTATTCTGAGATTTGATTAGCTGATGGGTGACTTAAAATATTGGTCAGAGAAAAAAGAATTTAAAAAGTAATTTCCAGAGATGATGGTGCCCCATTCTAGGCCTCCTACACATAAAAACCAATAGTATTCCAAGCAGGTTCCTTTTATTCCAGGTTCCTCACAGGGGATTACTTTTGTCCGATTACATTCACCCTGGAGTAACAGATTGGATTTTTAGGTACTAATCTTTGCCCTCTTGCCCCCAAATAAGGGTTTTTCTTCTCTCATCTGTCTGAGCACCTGGAAACACCTCAGCCTTTAGTGTCATTAGTCAGCCCCTCTGAGGAATTTAATATCCACAGCTGGGATGAATGGCTTTGGTGGGATCATATCCTGTGACTGAGTGAAAACAGCATAGGAAGGGAGAGGTATTGCAAAAATGTGTGGAACTGCTGCTTGGCATTAAAAGTATGCCTAACATAGCAGAGCTTTGATACAGTTTTTTGCAAGCTTCCAAAGGAAAATTTTAAGGGTGGTTAGGAAGGGTAGACTGAGTTTGACTATGCTTAATTATTCTTATTTTCATATTAGCTAATCTTTAAAAAATGTATTGGAGTAGAGCAGATTTGCAAATAAGTCCCCTAAGGATTTTTCCTTTTTGCCTCCACCCTCTTGGTTCATCTCTCTCTGTGTTCCCGGGCTTTCATAGAGGAGTTTGTAAATTACCATTTCCAGCCAACTGACCCAAAGCAGCCAGACCTGGGCCACTAGTCTACTCCAGAAAGCTTTTGTTTTGAATTAGAAGCTCTTATTCTCCTGTTCCCTAACCAAGTTGAGCAATCATTATTTTCTGGCTGGCTTTAAAATCTCTTAAGTTTTCATAACAAGGATTACTGGGATTTTATCACAGTTCTTCGGGTATTTTTGGAGTTTAGGACCATGGCATGAGAGCGATCTTGAAGTTTGTGTTTTGGTTGGTTTGTTCATTTTTTCAGGTGTTTGGTTAACTCTAGGCTATGTTTTCATTTATTCAAGTTCATTGTAGTTCTCAAGTTGCCAGCACTTCCTTGTAGTGATAATTTAGACCTTTTATTTCTCTTTCCTAGGAAGAGAGGTTTAGTATTCATTATAATTTCATTTTTATGCATTGCTCTGATGACAAGTCAAATATGTTTAGGTTGATGAGAGTAGGGTATGGGTAAAAACAATGAATCAATTCTATAATCTTTCAAGTTTTCTAAACTTTACCTACCTTAAAGGACTTAACAGGTGTGGTAGGACTAAAGCAGAACTAGTAAAGTACCACTAAATCTTCCATGCAGAAAAGCCTGGAAAGTTAGTGTCAGAATTGAATTTATAGCACTGGTGTGTTGGTGAATTTTAACAACTGGCTCTCTGGGGGGTTGTACACATGACACACTTTAAGATTTAATCTGCATTATTACCATTTTCTCCATCACTTTCTTAAGTCTAGATAATC